TATATATATATTTCATACAGGGTCTTGCTACACAGCTTGGACTCTTAATGATCCTCCTGTCTCAGCCTCCCTAGTGCTAGGATTACTGGTGTGCTCCACCATGCCTGGTTTCAGTGGCCAGCATTGCACACTAAGGTTCTGGGGTTGGCACGGCATGTGGCACCTGGGATCAAACTCGGGACCGTGCATTTCCAGGCAGGCACTTAGACTGCTGAGCTGTCTCCCCAGCTCCACAATGGCTCACTTTCTAAGCAAACTTTGGCACTTGTTTCTGTCTCTACTCTACCCACTTAAATCTTACCAGTTTTCAAGAGCCAGTTCAAATAGTAATTCTATGTAGACCTTTCCATTTAATTCTCAGAACTCTCCTTTCCCACTTTTGCATACTACAACATGGTACCCACAAGGCACCTACCTTATTATATTCTAAGTCACTGAATACTTATATTTTTTCCATGGATAGGCTGTTAGCGCCTCAGGAACAAGAGGTTTATCTAATCTTTTATTGCCTATGGCTCTTAAATATTGGATACTTACTATTGACTCCATAACTAGTGCCCAACCTGTCCTTATAGCTAATGTTGCAAGAGAAGAACTAGTAATCCTGCACAATTACTGTGAAACAGATATCAAGTATAATTATAATCCAGACAAAGCTAAACTTTTTAATTTCCTTCATTAAGAAAACAAGTCTAGATGGCTTCAGAATGTACCAAAATGAAGCTATAAGTGATTCTCAACTATTAACCACACAAACAGTAAACCATGGTTATGACAGACAGCCATAAAATAAGGTTAAGTTTGAAAAAAATATGTTGCAATTTTCTACTTTATCTTAAGTTACCCCCAACACTGCTGGCCAGGGAAGAAAGAAGTTTGAGGCCTATAAGAAGAAAATATTTTAATCAGAATTTTAAAAATTGCTAGCAATTGGCAGTTATGGCATGACCGTATGACTCAAAATCTAGATATCCTGTGATTTAGGGCAATAACTCTTTATTATTTTTATTTTTTAGTAAAGGGTCTCACTACACAGATCAGACTCATAGTGATCCTCCTGTTTTCAGCCTCCCAAGCGCTGGGATTACAGGCACACGCCACCATGCTCAGTCTCAGTCTCCACCTCAGTGCGCCCCAGGGGGGAGCCAGGACAGCACAGGGATCAAACCCTGGTCCCTGTACCTGCCTAAGCACGCACTTTAGTCCACTGAGCTATGTGGCCGGCCTTTAGGGGCAGTAATTCTTAATGTCTTCTACCACAGTATACCTAATTTATAAATCATTCCTGCCCACATGGAGTTAGGAATGCTTAAGTTGAGCTTGTTACACTAACTGAGATCCTCTTCCCTTCCTAGTTAGCATTATATTAATAATTTGATTTGGATTCCACTGCTTGATCCACTGACTCTTTTTTCAAATCAACCCATCTTCCACTGCCACCATGCTAATCCAAGCTACCGTTGCCTCATGCCTAAACAATTACAGGAGATTTTTTTCTGATCTTCCTGTTTCTATCTTGGCTTTCTTTTAGCCAATATCCTGTATAGTAGCTTGAACAGTAATTTTTAGAAGACTACTGTTATCCACTCTAAAATAACCAATGACTACACAGCTGCTTAGATACTAGCCATGTCAAACAGTTCAAAGAAAAGCTTAGCTTGTGAATTAGAAAAAACAAAACCAAATGGCCAAATGAATACTGAAACCACAAATTCGAGGTTTTAACTGAGGTCAGAATTCAGAATTCATTTAATAAGCTGTGCTGTTTTACCCAGATACCTGACACATGCTCACTGAGATCAACAGAACACAAATGAAATTACTTGGTCTCTGCAGACCACAGGATGAATGCACTTGGTTCATCTGGGTCACATTAAGAGGAAGTGTCGTGGGCTGAAAATAAAATACAGTTAATAAGTAACAGAATGTCCTTTAAAATATTTTTTACTATAATGCGTGCCACATGTCCGGCCTACAGGTTTCAGGTGGACACACTTGGTACAGTGTACTCCCAAAACTATAAAATAGTTTAAAGATCACTAGGAGATGTAAAAAAAAAAAAAAAAAAAAAAAACCCAAAAAAAAAAAAAAAAACCAAAAACCCAAAACCTTAGCTTGAGCTGAATGAAGCATTAAGCACCTCTCATATGGATACCTTGTGTCACTGGATCCACCTCTAGCCAATTAGAGGACAAGGGCGGCATTCCAGGTCCAAGACTATGTGATCCACATGGGGAGCGTAAGATTTCACTAGTTGGATATGCAAGATTTGTGTCTTCCACGGTTTTCCATGCACCTGCCAAAGAAGACTGGCAATCCGAGTTTCAGCAGATTCAGCCCACCTTTGCCATTCTAGCTTGGCAGCTGATGAAGGCTTTTCCCCCCTAAAATGCCTGGTAGCTCCATTACCCTCTTTGTTAGCAGTAATTTTCTGAGGATAAGAAGAATGCTGCTTCTCCATTTTGCTGCTTTCAGGAGGTTGGAGATTGTTTCCTGGGAAAGATTCCACGTTTTGGTGGATATGCAAAATGCCCCCAGTATCCCGTCGTAGCACTTGGCAGGCAAGAGGCCAGCCTTCTTCAGAGCTTGGAATGAGCCCTAGGTTCACCCTATCTGCAATGTTTGAGAGCTTCAGTGTCCTGTTATCCCCAAAGTGTATTTGGCACCGATCTGATACTCCATTGATCTCCAGGTTATTTCTCAGAGCAACTACAGCATGGGGGTTCCAGTCACAGGCATGAACAAAGGCAGCACCAGCATGAACTAGGAAGGGCAATGTAAAATAACCGATTCCTGAATACAGATCCACCACCACTTCTCCGGCACACGACATGGACGCTATGCGCAGCTTCTCAGTGATGTTTCCGAAGGAGAACATACACTGGGTAACGTCAAACTTGTATCGGATGCCGTTATCCACGTGCTCTACCCAGCCCTGCTCGCCCAGCAGCAGGGTCACCGCTGGCGTTCGACAGCCATCGGGTAACACTCGCCCTCGCTTTGCCAAACGCTGGGCGCCAAGGGCAGAGGCAATGGCTCCCCAGAGCTCTGGTTCCAGATTTTCCCACTGCTTAGCTTGGAAGCAGTCTTCACTCAGCAGCAAGAGGTTACCATGCCGCTGCCAAGAGCGGGGCAAATCGGCCTCCAATTCAGCTGACCACGCCACTCCCCGACCTTCTGCCCAACGCCTCACCTCAAGACACAGTCTTTGGGCCGGTGAGCAAACTCGAGCCTTCTTTGAAGGGACAGGACGCAGCAGCCGAGTGAGCTGACAGGTGCTGCCTGGGGCTACGCGATTCCTCAGCTCCCGCAGCAGCTGCTCGGGGAGGGTCTCCCCCAGCACCGGGAGCGCCACGGCGCCATCCGGCAGCTTCTCCGCGCGGTGCTGTCTATCCAAGAGTTTCAGCTTCTGGAGATATTCCCGGTACCGCTGGGTAAACTGAGGCTCAGTCACAACTGCAACAACACCTGTGGCCTTCCCACCTTCTTTCTCCATGTCGCTAGCGCTCGCCTTCTTTCACATTCGCTCGCGGAGACGCTGGGTCCGTTACACCTCCCAAAGGAAATCAACGCCACAAGGAACTGACCCTCGCGCCGGCTGGGATTCCGGAAGTGACGTCAAACAAAACCGGCCGGAACACTGGCTGGCGCCGTCTCCGTTGCCGTAGTGACGCGGCTTCAGCCATCTTTGTTGTGGTCAGCCGACCAGCGCTCACCCGAGATGAATAAAAACAACGCGTTTTATGGTCTGCAAGATATAAAGGTTGACGGAAGCTTCTAGAACCCTTATCGATTCTTTTTAGTGCTGTTGTGCTGAATTTCGAGAAAGACTTCCTATGTTGGCTACTGTTGCTCTCAAGTTGCTGAAAGAATCAAGTTCCAACGCTGCAAAGATTTTTATCACTTCAGTGTCTTAAAGTGTGAAAAACACGTGTTTGGAAGTCAGAATGATCTCAATTCTTTTATATTCCTCTCAGACTTGAAATCTGTACAAAATGGAAATTGCAGAGGATTAGAGACATTACATACACAATGTTTTAAACAATGACTAGCAAAGAATAGGTACCCAAAATATGCAATAAGTCAAATTGTTTAAATGGTAACCTATTGAAATGCTTTGCTAGCTCTAATGAGGACAGAGAAGATAAATTCAAATATGTGAAAATAACTTTATATAAAGAAGTGCTGGCTTTTCTACAAACCTACAAAGGATTGGTGCATGGTGATAGATATGTATCTAGTTTTAGTCTTTGGCCTGTATAGAGCCAGTTTTTCCAACACTATTTGTGAAAGAGGCTATCTTTCTTCCAGTGAACGTTTTACTCCTTTGTTAATGATAAGGAGGCTGAGCATGTTTATAATTTTGTCTGCATCTTCTAATCTGTCCCATTGGTCCTGAGGTCTGTTTCTTTTTTCTTTCTAGTACAATGGTGATTTTATCACAGTAGCTTTGTAGTATAATTTCAAGTCAGAGATTGTTATGCCTCCTGCCTTTCCCTTGTTGCTCAGGATTACCTTTGCTATTCTACATCTCTTCTGCTTCCAGTTAAATTTTAGGGATGTTTTCTCTAGATTTGTGAGGTTGGCTAATGGTGTTTTGATTGGTATTGTATTGAATCTGTATAGCTATTTTGGAAGTAGGGCCTTTTCACTATGTAGGCTCACCTTACCCATGACCAAGGAATATCTTTCCATTTTCTGATATCCTCTTTGATTTCCTTTTACAGAATACTGTATGTTTTCAATACTTTACTTCCTTTGTTAGATTTATTACTAAGTATTTTATTTTTGGGGTGCTATTGTGAAGAGTGTGGTTTCCCTAATTCCTTTCTCAATGAATTTGTTGTTTTTGTAGAGGAAAGCTATTTATTTATTTATTTATTTATTTTGCCTGTTAAGTTTGTATCCAACTATGTTACTGAATTTTTTTAATTTTTATTTTTTCCCATAATTTTACTGAGAAAGAAATAGCAATGAGACAGTTTCAAACCAAATTGGTAGGACAGTTTCAATAATTAACACATTGCGTACATTCTTACTAGTGGTTAATTGCTGTACAAGATGTGGACATGATATCCTATTTACAAACACTATTAGAACAAATCCCTCTGTTCATTAAGAGAATGTAACTATACATCTATTCTAACCATTTTGAATACACAGATACAAAATGGACATTCATCTGTATCCCCTTTTTTGTTCAGTTCCATTATTTAAATATTATAGGTGTGTTAACTC